ACAGGGAGGAGCCGGCTGCTCAGACAGACCTCACGGGAAATTTCAAGTGAAGCAGAGTGTTTGTAATAATTACGGAAAACAGCCGTAATCAGAAGCGGAGGACGCCTCGTCCCCATAAATCAGCGCTCGATAAAGGCAGCGCGCTGCGCTCCGAGGGGCGGAAAAGCCCGGAATGAAGACGATGGCTGTCAAGCGGACAGGACCCAGAGGAGCGCCATGTGGCCTGGGGGAGGGCTGGGGTCACCTCCAGCCGCCCAGCCCAACGCCCATCTGTCCCATGTGCCCAGTGACCGAACCACCTCCTCGGCCTGCCAGGAGCGTCACTGAGCTCAGAGGGGCCAGCGCCGGTCCCTGGCCCCGCTCCAGCCCCTGGGAGCCATCGTTGGGATAAAGAAGTATATTTAAGTATATGTTTTAGAGAAAATAACAAGTTACTGGGTTTGAGTGGCAGTTTCCCCAGCCAGGTGGGTTCACGTTGGCCCTCCCTCACCCCAGTAGTTCAGTGGTGCTTACTGCCTTTCTCACAACGGGCCAACAGCCTCCTTCATTTCCTTCCGCCTGCTCTGTTTCCAGCGTGCCCTTTGCCCTCTTATCTTCCCATCTCTGCGATAGGCTAACGGTTGGCCTTTTGGTCTCAGGCTGGTGGCTTCTGATTTTTTCAGTAGGACACCATTCTTCCAGGTCAAACTCAAATCCGCGGCTATCAAGTGCATTCTGACTCACAGCAACCCTCTAGGACAGGGCAGAACTGCCCCCGTGCGCTTCCGAGAGTGTAACGCTTAACAGGAGCGGAAAGCCAAGTCTTTCTCCCGGGGAGTGCCTGGGGGTTTCGAACCGCGGACCTGGTGGCTAGCAGCCCAGCACGTAACCCACTATGCCACCAGGGCTCCTGCCTTCCTGGCTGGGTCCTTTATTTTGTGTGCCCCCCTGCAGTTTGGCTAGAAGGTGATTTTGATGGTGTCCGTTCAGAGTCAGAAGTGTGTCTCAGGGTGATGATCCTAGAGCTGTGGTTCTCAACCCTCCTCACACCGCGACCCTTTCATACAGTTCCTCATGTGGTGGTGACCCCCAACCATAACATTATTTTCGTTGCTACTTTATCACCGTCATTTTACTACTGTTATGAATGGGGAGACCCCTGTGAAAGGGCTGTTCGACCCCAAAGGGGTCGCTACCCACAGGTTGAGAACCGCTGTTTTACTGTCTAAGAGTTTAACTCTTACGTTTTATTCCCATCCTACCTGGGGCAGGCCACAGAATGTCCCTGTCTATCTACCTGTCTATCTATCAATTCACTGTCCTCAAGTAAATTCCAACTCATAGCACCCCTGTAGGGCAGAGAAGAATTGCCCCTGTGGATTTCTGAGACTGTAAATTCTTAGAAGAGTAGGAAGCCTGGTCTTTCCTCCTTGGAGCAACTGGTGGGTTGGAACTGCTGACCTTGTGGTTAACAGCCTGATGTGTAACCCACTCTGCCGCCAGGGCTCTTACAGAATGGAATGGCCTCTTGCGAATGCATGCTGCGCACCCTCTTCCCATACCTCCTCAGTGCCATCCTGACCCACCTCTGTTACCACTCACAGTGGGGCCCTGTCTTAGTCTGGGTTCTCTAGAGAAGGAAAACAGTGTGATAGATAGATAGACAGACAGACAGACAGACAGATAGATAGATAGATAATAGATAGATAGATAATAGATGGATAGGTGGATGATAGGGAATAGATAGATAGATAGATAGATAGATAGATAGATAGATAGATAGATAGATAATAAATAGATAATATATAATATATAGATAGATTGATGATAGATAGATAATAGATAGATACATAGATAATAGATAATATGTTGATAGATAGACAGATAATAATAATAGATAGATAGATAGATAGATAGATAGATAGATAGATAGATAGATAGATAGGTGAATGATAGGGAATAGATAGATAGATAGATAATAATAATAATAATAACAATAATAGATAGATAATAGATGGATAGGTGGATGATAGGGAATAGATAGATAGATAATAGATAGATAGATAGATAGATAGATAGATAGATAGATAGATAGATAGATAGATAGATAGATAGATAGGGGTTTGTGTCAAGATAACAGCTCACACAGTTGTAGAAGTCGGCAAGTCCCACGTCCTGGCAGATTGCATATCCCTGGGCTGGCTGTTAGGCTAGAAGCTCCTCCTGAGCCCTGTAGCTGTGGGGGCTGATGAATTCAAGATCAGCAGGGAGACCTGGTGGCTGCAGGGCATTGAGTCCCGGGCCAGCAGTTCTGATGGCAGGTTGCTGAGGACTCCCGGTGTCGGCAAGCAGTATGGCAGGCCATTGGCTCAAGTCCATGATCCAAACCTAGCAAAGACCTGACAAGTCTCCCACAGCATCCACTCATATTGGAAGCGAGCCACATCCCAGAGGCAATCCATTGCATCAGGGCTGTATGACCGGAGGAAGAGTGTTACCTTCCACCCTGGTTCTGGCCCTGTACGGCGGAGGCTGACAGCTATTTGGCTGTGATCACATTGGGCTCACTCGGGACACGGGGCGTTAGTAGGTGTTACCTGACAAAGGCCCTGAGAATCCTGGCCCAGCCAAGTTGACATAAAACCTTAACTGTCACAGCCCTTTACCCCTACTTCTTAGCCCAAACGAGACACTGAGTAGCCAAGAACTCTGGGCAGGCGTCATCCCCTCTCTGGGCCTCAGTTTCCACATTTGGAAGTGTGGGTGGTCTCAGACATCTGTTTCGCCTCTGACGTCTTTCCAGGGGACACCGAGACCAGAGCCTGCCCCAGGCCCTGATGTGAGCCCAGGCTGGGCACCTGGAGCGAGGAAGGGCCTTAAAGGCACACCGAACACACGCCCCGAACAACGCCAGACAACTGCAGCTGGACAGGAGCGGGCTCAAGTCCCACACATGTCCCTCAGGGGCTAAGTAGACCCAGTACAACTTCTAATCACACCTCTGTGCAGTCCCACGACAGCTCTGAGAGGATGGAGAGAGAGATGAGGAAACCGAGGCTTGGGAGTCAGAGGGCACCCCAAGTTTCCCCCCTTCTTGGTCTCGCTAGCACAGGGTCACTAGCCATGAACTTGACCCTGGCCGTGGGCTCTGAGAGTCACCTCTTGCTGGCAATGTGTCCTGGGACAAGTGCCCTAACTTCTCTGCGCCTCCTGGGTAACCCACAGCTGGCAGCAAGTCACTGTGACTCACAGCTACCCCTGTAGGACAGAGCAGAGCTGCTCCCTAGGGTTTCCAAGGTAGGTCTTTATGGTATCAGACAGCCTCATCTTTATCCTGCAGAGTGGCTGGTGGGTTCGAACTGCTGGCCTTGCAATTAGCAGCCCGACAGCTAACCCACTACACCACCAGGTTCCTTTTCAGTGTGTCGAAAGAAAAGCAAGTATTAGCATCCACTGTCTGACTGTCGTGGGAGAAAGATAAGGCGTTCTACTCCCAAGAGAGTTACAGTCTTGGGAACCCAAAGGGGCAGTTCTATCTACCCTGCCCCTTAGGGTCACTAAGAGTCAGAATGGACTCTTCTTGTCATGAGCGTAGTGAGGAGTCTGGCTGTCGGAACCCTGGTGGTATAGCGGTTATGCGTTGGGTTAACTGGAAGGTCAGCAGTTTGAAACCACCACCAGCCACCCTGTGGAAGAAAGAGGGGCCTTTCTGCTCCCGTAAAGAGTAAAGGATTAGAAACTCACAGTGGCATTCTACCCTGCCCCGTGGGGTCACTAGGAGTCAGCAGGTTTGGGTTGGTGGTGATCTCTTTCATTTTTGAAGCCAATGGCCGTGAGGATGGTGTCAAGGCCCCCCACTCTGTTCAGCGTGCGGGGACCCCGGGGAGTGCAGGCAGGACTTTCTGCTCGGGGTGCTGACCAGAGAAGGTGTCCTAGAACAACATTCATCTCCCTGGACAGGTGTACCTCTGTCCCAGGGTAGGGACCCTTCAGGGTGCACAGGATGCTGAGCAAGAAGGAGCCAGTGTGACCTTGAAGTTCATGCTTTCACCCCTCACTCATCCTGGCCTGATCCCTGCTCCGTGGCTCCCCAGGCTTATGCCTACAAACCTGCAT